TGTTAGATTTTATCAGTGAATCTTTTGTTTACATTTTATTTTTATTTTGGGTTGAATTTTATTAATTTAATATTCTTATATTTATTATAAAGTGAAACTGGATTCAGACGTATATTTGAATTCGCTGACATCGATGGTGTTGGTATCCTTGATGAAGAAGAAGTTCGCAATATCCTAGATTCTATAGGCATAGAATCCAATGTTGTAATTGACGCCTTCTTCCAACGAATGAAAAAGAAGCTCTATGAGGGCATAACGTGTCGTGAGTACTTGACCCTAGTTCGTCAGCTGTATCCTGTCAGAGAGAAGCCACGTAATCCCATTCCATTTTGGCGCTTGTTTGCTCCCAAAAGGTCTAATCTTGACTTAGAATAAAAACCTGTGCTTATTTTCTTTACTAAAATATGCCAAAATATGAAATAATTTACAAAAAAGCTTTCAGTTGTTTTCTATTATGAGAGAATACGTGTAGATTTAAAAATTGATTATATAAAGACGAAGATGGTGTGGCCTTTTGTGGGGTCGCACTCTCCTTTCGTTGTATAGAGGTTGTTTCAACTTATTTTCGCAAGTTTGTCATATTAGCAGGAAGATGTTGCGGCATGCACCTTTTCCTAAGTCTATGGTGTGTATGAGCATGGTCCCTTTCCTATCTTTCTGGCTGACCGATTTCACTAGGTTACAGCCCCAGCGTACATTTACTCCAGGTGCTATTTCTCAAGACTTCAGTGGCACGTACATACATTTGCCAACAGAGGTGAGAGAGGTGATCCCATAGAAAGTCCAAATGTCTGTTCCTAGATGTTGTCATTGAGTGTGGAATGGGTAGTACTTAGTGTCAAGTTGATTAACCATGTTAACGACTCCCTTTTGATACTCTCCGCTTCTACCAGGGCCGTAAACTCTTTTTCTCCAGAAATGTTGGTGTACATAGATTGTGCATCAAAACTTAACAGTAAATCTGCTTCTTTCAGTGTTATTTTTTTTATCATTGAGAAAATTCATATGAGTACCTTACTATGTTTGACAATCTTTGAGGGTAGATAAATTGGATTGCTCAGGACTATACTGCATAGAATGCGGCATCTGAGAACAGAAATACATTAAGGAAATTGGGATAAAAATAGGTGAAAGCACTAGTGTGTTCTCATTGACCTTAATTTAATGGGAGAATTTTACAAGAATGAGTCCCAGCTTTGATGATGTCCATCATATTATATACGAAAGCTCAGTCCCTTTTAGCCCGAAACGAGGGAGAATGTCTCGTGGACTGCATACAACGGGAATCAGCCGTCGTCTTCTGGTGAGATCGACCTTCGAATCTCTTCTTAGTTCACCTTTATAAGAAATGCAATTATCCCAAACAATGTTATCTCAGAATTGGGTTGACATCGTTATCGCAACTTGGTTTTGCTGTCAGGGCGACTTGGACAAACACACCTAGTCCGAAGTCCTCTGTCATAGTAGTTATCATAGTTCCCAGCATCAGACAGTGGACTTTGTACATTGTCAAACATTTCGCCGGCATTGTAGTCGGAACTATCAGTGAGTGCTACCATTCTCCTCACCAAGCTACGATATCGTCATAGAGACAATTGAAGTCAATCTTTTCACCAACGTTCTGCCAAAAACGGTTACACTATCACTCCTTTTTCTGTACTGGCCTACCTTTCAACTATTTAGCCTCTTATCAACAACTTCTCACTTGTTTAAATTCCACTCGTCAAAATGTGCCCTTTTGTGGCAAATCTTGTGTGACCTCATCACACCTGACATTACCCCTATCCTCCGTCTTTCGATCGGCTAATCCATTTTTGACAGAACTTTGGCGGAAAGATTGACTTTAATTGCCTCTTTCACGAGTTAGCCTCTTCGTGCGGAGAATGGCAGCACTCACTGATGATGCCCACTACGATGCCGGTAAAACGTTTTGAGAATGTACCAAAGCCACTGTCTGATGCTGGGAATTATGATAACTACTATAGCAGAGGAGTTCGGACTAGGTGCCATCTACAGTCCTCTCCAGTTCCTATCAGAGTCTCTTCTTGCTCCGTAGGATCCCTCCCTTATCTGCCTGTTTAGGTGATTTCGCCCCATCGCTGTCACCGTATCCGTGCTAGTCAAGGTGTTGTTCTACACTTGCCTAAAACCTTTGATAGCACGTATACACCAGCCTTACTGAGCAAGCCTCTAAAGTCTCGATTCTCATTTGGCATGGCATCTTAACTTGGCGCTTCAGATTCCCCTATCGCTGTGCTGCATGTTCAACGAGTAAATCTCATGGTCGCGCATTTACTTCATTGAACACGTCTATAAGCAAACTTATCTACTAAAAGCCAACTAGAAATGGCCACTACCATTTTTCTCGCTTTTTTATGACAAACTTCAAATATGAGGGTTCTACTTGATTTGAATAAACTCGCTGTAGACGTCTTCTCCTAGTTTCCGATTGTTCCTCTTTGATCTCCTTGTAATTTCTTTTCCTAAAATTAAAAGTATTACCTTTGTCTAGTCGTCTTCTTTTTGCTGATATTGCTGTTTCCTGATCTTCACCGAGTTTGTTTAGGCAGTATGCAAAGTTTTCGCTAATCCTGCCTTCGTCAAGTCTCCTGTTCATTAGGTTTCTTTCAGTTAGGATATGAATGGCTCCTCGTATCTTACGTTTTCCTGTATTTCCATCATATGCAGCTAGCTCTGCTGTCGATTTTCACTCGATTTCTTGTCTCGTTCGTGCGATGGGCACTTATCTGCTCGGCCACCATTTGTTGAATGTGATGACAAATCTATTTAATAAGCACATTATTTTATAGCTACCAGATCTGGATAATTGTTCATCTTTCTCTTTAAGATTGGGCATAGCTCAAGAAAGTGTAATATTTTTCCTAAAAACCGTTTTTATCCCCCATTTCCTTACTTACTCGCCTAATGTATTAGAGAGAGTGCACAAAGGCTAAGACAAAACATGGGAAAAGTTCTCCTTATCTCTCCTCACTTATTCATCAGGATATATATAAAGCCTTTACGGATAGGCAGATGAGTTTTCTTCACTAATTAGCTTAAATATGGTTGCCTTGCTCTGCGGATGTCCCTCATATTATGTTCGAAGGCTTAGCACGTTTTTGCCAGAATCGAAGGAGATTACCTCGGAAATAGCGTCGCCAAGAATGTTCCAGCAAAGCAAATTGACAGCTGGCTAAGAGGAACCTGCCAATGTAATCTGGCGGGATCGACCTTTTAATCTCTTCAC